AGCTGAACGGTAGCAAAACCAACTATAATCTGGAGACTCACCGCAACCACTACAAGACCGGTGAGGCCGTCTGCCCTGTCTTGGCGGTCAGACAGTTCTTCCAGAAATACCCGAATCGATACTTGGGCGGCGTGGAGGCAGATGAGCCACTATTCCGAACACCGGAAGGCTGGGATATCCCACGCGAGGCCGTGCAGATGCTCCTGCGCCGTGCGGCCGAAGCCTGTGGTGTGGCGGGCCATCTAGGCTCGCACTCTCTTCGTTTTGGGGGCGCTTCGGCTCTCTGGGCCGCCTATAAAGACGCCTCAGTGGTCAGGCGCTACGGGCGTTGGGCTTCCGACGTCTTCCACACTTATTTGTGGGAGGACCGCGAATACTCGCGCGGTATGTCGGAGTCCATGATCAAGACAAGCCTCACGCCTACGTAGCTATGCCCGTCCACGCAGTTTTGATACATCTGCCAACCGAGGCGTGTTTCACGCCCGGTAGAAAGGCAACCACTCCAGTTTTGATACATCTGCCAACCGAGGCCTGTTTCACGCCCGGTAGAAAGGCAACCACTCCAGCTATACAGTGGCAAGGGAGGGGTGCGAGCCCGGAGGGCAAAGACCTTTTCAGTGCCTACGCGCGCAAAAGTGCGTTCTTGCTGTTGAGTGGGGGGTTGTAGGTTAGGTCCAAACTGTTGGAGCTTAGTGTAGCGTGCTCTAGGTTTTGACTGATCTGTACAACCCGGTGTAGCTTGGGCTCAAGGTAGCCCACCCGCCCTCCCCCTTGAGCCCGGAGGGCAAAGACCTTTTCAGTGCCTACGCGCGCAAAAGTGCGTTCTTGCTGTTGAGTGGGGGGTTGTAGGTTAGGTCCAAACTATGTTGTTTATCGAAGGAAGTTTAGAAGTCAAACTTCCGACAATATGAATATGGACAGATGGACAAGCAGAGGTGGGAAGACTCAGGGAACAGAAAGGCAGAAGAAAGAAGATCAGAGAAGAGAAAGAGCCAGAAGAAAGAAGATGCAGGCGCGCGAAAAGGCAGAAAAGTCGCCAACCGCTGTGTTTTTCTAATGATTTGTGGCCCCGGAGAGTCGAGAAGTAGGCTCGCTAAAGCGGCGGGTGCGGAGCCATCTGGCAGGATGAGAGATGAGAAATTGCACGCCGTTGTGGCGCGAAGCACATTTCGAAGTCAAAAAAGGTAAACGGCACTTCACGCTCGGAGCACGTTTGGAAGTTGAGATGTCGAAAAAGTGCACGCTGCTGTGGCGCGAAGCACATTTCGAAGTCAAAATGTACAGAACACGCCATGCTTGAAGCACTTTTGCAAGTTGAGATGTTGAAAAATGCGCGCACGTCGAAGTCAAAATGTTTAAAAACACCACATGCTCGGAGAACTTTTGGAAGCACGTTTGGAAGTGAAAAGTCAAAAAAAGCTGACGGTCTCGGACAAGTTAGGGTGTGGGGTCATGCACAAGGGATTCGGCACTTTGCCAAAAGTGAGCAAAACGTGAAGGTTTTGTGGCGGTCTGAGAAACGTTGGCATGCCTGGGACACTTGAAGAGGATCTGCAAAGATGCATTTCGCGTGGCAGGCGCAGTACCAGAGACATGTTCATCAGAGATGTTAGGAGGTCCGGGCGCTGATTCCATGAGAGGGGTTGCATTTTAGAGCGTCAGACCGTCAAATTTGCTAAGATGATTTTGCTTGATTTTGCCTGACAGGCGCAGCTTTTTGTATGACCTGGCTTCACTTTTTCCTGGCAGGCGCAGTACTTTAGACAGATTGAGTGGAAAATCGCAAAACACATTGGTACGAGGCTGTCACCTTTGCTTTCAATTTTCAAGGAAGTCTCGCACAATTGCTTCGTTCTTGATGTCGTCAATTTGGAAAATTGAGTAAGTCTCGCAGAATCGCCAACATGAAAAATTGAGGATGCCTCGCAGAATAGCTTCGTTTTCAAACTTGCAGATAGACAGATAGATAGATAGACAGCTACGACTACAATTACAACTACCACTGCACTACACCACTACTACAGCTACAAATACAAATATACTACGCTACGTTGAGCTACTACACTACACTAATTACACTACACTAATTACTAATTACATTACACTTACACTACGACTACTAACTACTCACTGCTACTACTACTAATAATAATAGTAA